TAAATGAAATTAATATTAATAATAAATATAGTAATGAAATTAATAATAATGTTTATAGTAAATGAAAAAGTCAATATTTACTGAACTAAAAATTCAATATTTACATTAAATGAAGATCTAATATTTACATTAAATAGAATAATTTTGATAACTAGATCCATTTTACTGAATTAATACGGATTACTGAATTAAGGAATTGTGCTGGAATAGTTGAAATGATCATTGAAGTATTAATTTTTGCGAGAGAAAAAAAGAATGTCGTGTATTAAGCCATACCTGTTCTGTTTCAGGATACGGAAGCAGCTTATCCAAATCAGCACTGGACACGCACACCCACCTCAGGCAGCCTGGTATGTAGTAGGTAGATATTCCTGAGAAGTTAAAGCTCTTCAATTTTTTTGCCTATCTTCAGAAGAGAGTAAAAGCAATTAGTAATTTCACGAGAAAATTGCCACGCGACTCCGTTGAAAACACGATTCCCCAACAGTAATAATAATAACTCATTACTAAAATATTGACTCTTTTTAAAAACATTAATACTAAAATTATAATAAAATACTAATCATTGATCAATAGTGATACAAAAAGAACATGAAAATGTATATATATTTCTTCTTCTTACTATTTTTAAAGTTTCATAATTGACTTAGTTATTTTTATCATAAATGTATAAAATCTTCGGTCTATTAACAAACAAAAGAACCAAAATCGAAGAAGCAAGAGATAAAATGCAAAATGAAATTTTTATATTATTTACGGTCTAACAAATGAAATAAATTCCAATTTAATTCTCCAACGATCGTCAATAGATGTTCGTATCCCTAAGTTGAAGAATAATGATTTCCCAATGCTCGATAATCGGCTCTAGCAAATAGGAATCGGAGATTCAGCGCACGCGCCGCTAACGCGTTAATTATTACGCTGTTAGGAAGATAATGACGGGTATACAGGAGCATAAGAAAAAATGATCACGCTCGCTATAGAGAAACGAGCAGTGACGCGTGAGCCAATCGACGGCGATTTTGTCAAAGCAATTGCACGGAATGACCTTCAGGATTATTACGTCCCGTCACTAATCACGCGAGACCGGCCCCCTCGATCCTCGACTTTTCAAACGGCACGCCCAAAAATTATCTCTACCGACCGATCGATAGCTTTAAATAAAGTGACTCTACGGATCGATCTCAGTCATTACTGTTACTAAAACATCAAGCACCAAATATTAACTTCAAAAATTCCCACGATATCGAAGTCGATCAATTAATGAAATCGAAACTATTGGGTTGGCAACTAAGTAATTGCCGATTTGTTCAATGAAAGAAAAATTGTTTTTTACTTGGAACGAAGTTTAGTCTGTAATGTATTTTCCATTTTGTTCGATGACCTTTTGCCATCTCTCTGACAACTTGAACATGCCACGCTCGCAGAAAGTCTGATCCTTTTCGGCCAAAAACTGAGTTAAGTGAGATTTTACAGCGTCGTCATCGTTAAAAGTTTTACCACGAAGGGAGTTGTCCAGGGATCGAAATAAGTGGTAATCCGATGGCGCGAGATCAGCGCTATATCTGTCTCTTATACACATCTCTTTTGTCTTCGCATCGATTTACAACAGTGTCAATAATATATAATAATATAATATATAATCTGTCTCTTATACACATCTCTTTTGTCTTCGCATCGATTTACAACAGTGTCAATAATATATAATAATATAATATATAATCTGTCTCTTATACACATCTCTTTTGTCTTCGCATCGATTTACAACAGTGTCAATAATATATAATAATATAATATATAATCTGTCTCTTATACACATCTCTTTTGTCTTCGCATCGATTTACAACAGTGTCAATAATATATAATAATATAATATATAATCTGTCTCTTATACACATCTCTTTTGTCTTCGCATCGATTTACAACAGTGTCAATAATATATAATAATATAATATATAATCTGTCTCTTATACACATCTCTTTTGTCTTCGCATCGATTTACAACAGTGTCAATAATATATAATAATATAATATATAATCTGTCTCTTATACACATCTCTTTTGTCTTCGCATCGATTTACAACAGTGTCAATAATATATAATAATATAATATATAATCTGTCTCTTATACACATCTCTTTTGTCTTCGCATCGATTTACAACAGTGTCAATAATATATAATAATATAATATATAATCTGTCTCTTATACACATCTCTTTTGTCTTCGCATCGATTTACAACAGTGTCAATAATATATAATAATATAATATATAATCTGTCTCTTATACACATCTCTTTTGTCTTCGCATCGATTTACAACAGTGTCAATAATATATAATAATATAATATATAATCTGTCTCTTATACACATCTCTTTTGTCTTCGCATCGATTTACAACAGTGTCAATAATATATAATAATATAATATATAATCTGTCTCTTATACACATCTCTTTTGTCTTCGCATCGATTTACAACAGTGTCAATAATATATAATAATATAATATATAATCTGTCTCTTATACACATCTCTTTTGTCTTCGCATCGATTTACAACAGTGTCAATAATATATAATAATATAATATATAATCTGTCTCTTATACACATCTCTTTTGTCTTCGCATCGATTTACAACAGTGTCAATAATATATAATAATATAATATATAATCTGTCTCTTATACACATCTCTTTTGTCTTCGCATCGATTTACAACAGTGTCAATAATATATAATAATATAATATATAATCTGTCTCTTATACACATCTCTTTTGTCTTCGCATCGATTTACAACAGTGTCAATAATATATAATAATATAATATATAATCTGTCTCTTATACACATCTCTTTTGTCTTCGCATCGATTTACAACAGTGTCAATAATATATAATAATATAATATATAATCTGTCTCTTATACACATCTCTTTTGTCTTCGCATCGATTTACAACAGTGTCAATAATATATAATAATATAATATATAATCTGTCTCTTATACACATCTTATTTCATTGAACAAATCGGCAATTACTTAGTTGCCAGCCCAATAGAAAGTCAGCCATAGGAAATATTAGTTTAACTCTTTTCATATTCTGAAAATCCTAGCAACATTCAGTTCGTTCGATAAATTACAATTAAGTGAAATTACAAAACCTAGTTGAAAATTAGTGTTACTATAAAATGTAGACTTGCGACTGCACTTGTATTATTTTGTACCAGAAACGCCGGGTTCTAAATTCAAGGCCAATTTTCTTATCAAACCTCAAATCTGCGTACCGAGAAACATTAATCTGCTCATTTCATAATGCTACGTTTTACTCTATACTTTATTTTATATTACCTCATTCATCTCGGCATAAAAAAGGATATAAAGGAAAACTTATTATGGTTGTTCCAATTTTATGTGGCTGGATAAATTGCTGTTCTCGCGACGTTCATATTGCTAATAGTAAAATTTTATAGGTTTCGCACAAATCGGTCTTAATTAAACCTTCGCCGGCGATACGGTTTTCGTTGACGCGATCTGCACTACGATTTCTCATTGTTTCGGACCTCCGATTTCGGTTCAAATCTTTATTTTTAATCTAGCATGCAGATTGTCTCTCTGGCTCGCTGGATGATCGCATAAACATCAGTACACATATTCTAAATTTCTAAAAATTTCATGAACTTAAAATGTAAAATAGATTCAATGAATTTTCCGTTAAAAAATCGGTTTTCTCTATGAAACGATCTTTTTTTAAGCATAGTGGAGTTACATAGTGGAGTGTTTGTCCTTAAACCTCCGTCAAGAACTTGCTTAAAACATACTATTTTTATCTCCTAAAATAGCTGAAAGTGTAGAAAAAATATTCCAATATATTCTCTTTTAAATGATTTACTCATAAAGTATTACGTTTAGTTAAAAGCAAAATATTTTTGCAATACTGTTTTTCACGTAACTAGATTCTGAATTATTGCGAACTCTATGTCACAAAGAAATCATGTCAACTTACAATGTCAATAATTACAAATGAAGATTTGTATTACCATAGCCAAACATATAATATTTAGAAATATTTAGAAATCTATTTGTCTCATCTATCATGTTTTATCCTGTTTCGTAAAATTAAAAAAAATTAAATCAAAATTAAAACTTAAAAAAGAATTAAAATTAAAATTAAACATTTTTTCGTAAAATTATAGTAAATAATCGCATTGCTTCATTTCTAAGTATTTTTCTTCCGATACGAAACGAATGAGATCGTTTTAACCAGCTGTTAAAGCCAAATTCTCCACTGTGCGACGGCCGGTAAACTTTTCGAATAAATATCCGTATTTACATAACGATCCCAATCGTCGTCCAGCATCGGAGCAGTCCGCGCAGCTCGGATTTCGAGAAAATAAAATTCCGGGGTCCCGCGATCTCATGCAAATTGAAACAAATTACTTCGTGCACCGGGAGCAGAAAGAACGAATTTTCAAAGTCAGGAAAGGGGGTCACAATTCGGTGCCTTTCTCCGCTGACCAGCGAGGACGAACGCTCCCGATAGATCCCGGAGATCGGGACAACGATCGTTCCGGTTCCCTCGTTTTCGCAGATAAATGGGTGTACCGCGCCCCTTCCCATTATTAACTTGTAAGTGAATTACCGTTCGATCGAAAGACGATCGGCCGCCACGCGTTCCGGGGGACTCATCGGGCGAAACGACCTTTGAGGTCCGGCGATTCAGAAGTCATCCCCCTCGATGTTCCACCCCCTCATAATCGAGCAAATGTATTTTTATGGAGACGTCCGGAGTGATCGGCGTCATTGTTCCCGGGGTATCTCGGACGGAAGATAATAAGACGCTACCGGCTGATTCTGCGGTTCAAACTTCGGTTTTATACTTTATCCTGATCGCAAGAATTTGGAACGTTTGGACAACAGAATTCGGCGACTAATATGAGATATTTATGCAAGATGATAACGATGATGGAGCAAATGATGAGTGGACATATACATTTATGAGGAAGATTAATTTGGTCAAATACAAAATTGTAAAGGAATTAGAAGAATTTAAGGATTCTGTTACATTATTTTCAACTCATTACAATTATCAAGAAAGGAGAGATATTTTTAACTTATATTTCTTATAATTAACTTAGATCATTTTTATTTTGTGTACAAATTCGCAGTCCAGTGATGAGATTTGCTTGACTTCGAGGTAATTTTATTCCATTAATAGATTTTAAATATAAAAATATAATATAATATAATATAATATAATATAATATAATATAATATAATATAATATAATATAATATAATATAATATAATATAATAT